TAGGGAGAGATGGTCACAAGCATATGATGTTCAGGGTCGATATTATGACCATATGACAACCAACCTTGCTGAATGTATCAACTCAGTGCTGAAAGCGAATCGACATCTCCCGATAGTAAGTATTGTTAGGGAGACTTACCTTAGGTTGGGTAAAGTATGGGCAGACAAAAGTGCACAAATTGATGCCATGATCAATGATGGGAGAAATTAGGCTCCGGATTTAGAGAAGGCAATGCAAAAGAATCCAACACATGCGACATCAATGTTTGTCCATAATTTTTCCATATTTGATTATGATTTTGGTGTCCAAGCACTAGTTCGACCACATGAGGGAGGTAATTCTACAACATACACTGGTAATCTGAATAGAAGATGGTGTGACTGTGGTCGATTTCAAGCTTTTAGGTTCTCATGCGCTCACGTTGTTGTTGTATATATGTACATCAATGTTGACCCATACTTATATGTTGATGATTATTATAGGTTGCACACTAAGCACAATATTTACAGATATGAGTTCAAGTACCTCCCAAATGAAGCATACTGACCTACATGCACAGGTTTTGAGAAATGGTTGCCAAATACTCAATTGCGTAGGAAGTTACGGGGTCGACATGAATCTAACAGAATTCATACCGATATGGATAATCCGCAAAGAGAGCTAGGTTTACCCAAACTTTGTGGCCACTGCAGAGGTGAAGGTTATAACAAAAAACATTGTTCACATATTCCAAAATATCGAGTTGGACGCTAAAATAGGCGTTAAAAATATTATGTACTTTAACTATGTATTTTTTGTACTGTAACTATGTCTTTTTTAACTATGTTTTTTTAACTTGTATTACGTTGAACCATGTTTTGTAATATTTTGATGTAACAAATTAAGGAAAAATGTTTTTGGATTTAATTGAATTTGTTCAAAGTCTTCAAAAGTTTTCAAAAAATAATTCAAAGTTCACGTATGAAGTACCGATATTATTCTGACATTATCGATACTATATGAACAATACCGATATTGTTCATACAGTACCGATACCCTAAGTAAGAGAAGTATCGATACTATCTAGATAGTATCGATACTTTCAGTTTTCTCAAATTTCAGAATGCAAAATAGGTATCGATACCCAAAGGGGTATCAATACAACTTTACATAGTAGTATCGATACCATGGTCACAGTATCGATACCGTCAGACCCAACGGCTAGTTTTGTTTAAAAATAATAAAGGAAGTATCGATACCCATAAAAGGAGTACAAATACTACTTGTACTTTTATAAACTGCATTAAATATGAATGAAATTTTTGTAATTAAATTTTATTACTTATCAATAATTTTTTATACAATTAAATATTGAGTACAAAAACTTAAATAAACAAATTTATTACTTATATTTGCACAATTATTGCCGATGTCGAGGAGTGGTAGAATAGTAATGACGTAGTGCTCGCCGATTTCATCGTGGTCGTCCACCTTCGTCATTTTTATCTTCTTCCGATTTTGGTGTACTGAACATTACTCCACCATTTTGATTTACATCTTCGGGTGAAAACGATGGAGTATTCAAGGTATTTGACGTCATCATTGACGTCATCGCCTCAAATTGAGATTGTTCGTGATGAAGAAGATGATCCCATGGACTTCTTTCTTTTGGTTCTGAGGAAAATTGTTGTGAAGGTGGCACTTGATCCCACCCACGCCACTTAACTCTCTATCGATGGTTGATATGCATATGGCTGTAAATGAGACGAGACATATCATGAGCTACTCGAGATCGACTCGATCAAGGCTCAATAAATACTCAGAATGAATGGACTCGACTCGAGTTCTTAACGAGCCGAAACGAGCTACTTGATATTCGACTAAAAAAGCTCGTGAGCAGATCGAAAATATAATATATTAAGATTTTATTTTTTAAAATAAAATATTAATAATATTAACATTTATGTATTATTTTTTAAAATAAAGTAAGATTTTCATGTATTTAAGGTTCAAGTTCGAGTTTGAGTTTGAGGCTTCAATCGAGTTAAGTTTAAGATTTTTTTTCATTTCGAGCCTTTTCGAACTGCTCACGAGCTTCAGTTCAGGATTCCGAGTTGAGCTTGAAAATTTTAAGCTCGCGAGTTATCGAGTCGAATCGAGCTCAGCAATATTCAAGCTCAACTTAGCTCGTTTACACCCCTAGATATGCACCATATCCACCATAATTTTCTTGCGATGAATAATAATTGGCGGAAGCATAAGATGAAGATGTTGATGAAGATGTAGATTTTTTCCCCCATATTTTGCCTTCATTATTTCCCACTCGGACTGCTCCTCCAACGTTGTCAAGTATGATTTCTCATTTGCTTCATAATTTTTGAGGGAGGGAGAAACATTGAAATCAAAATCTTCAGGTTGTACCTCGGAACAATTAGGCAATCGTAAATGTTTATTTTGTCATTGATGAATGAATATAGCATGCTTCCTCGGCCAATCTTTGCTATGCTTCCCACGCGCATCTATTTTATGCAAATCGTCAATGTTAAATATGAACATTTCTATCGGTTGGTGAAACCCAAATTATCGTAAAACTCTATAGGCGACATGGATCTCAACAATTGTGAAATAGAGCAATGGTGTTACGGCACACCATGTCTCCGCTCTTTCAAAGAACATTGGTGGTAGACACCGTTGGATATCTGACTCATAGTAAGGCATCAAATTAAACTGTCAAACCTATTATGTTAGTATAATTAAACAATTAATATTACAATTTCAAAGTTAATGTAAAAAATATTAAAATTTACCGCACGTCTACTGGCGATATCAATTCTCATCCAAATATCTACTTTGGTTGCACCCGATAACTTTGTATCCATTATTCAGTGTCGCCATCTAAAAAAATACATTATTTATAGTCATTTTCAAAATATTTATATAAATATTATAAAATATCAAAACTTTAAATACATGAATTTACCTTGCGGAGAGAAAACTCCATATGAGCGGATGTAATAGGCGTCATAAATGGGAGACGATACCACTCCCATGATTGGAATTAAACTAAACAACCCGCTACATCCGCTTTTTTTTCCTCTAACGATTACGATCCCCTTATAGAGTTCACGATACAAAAAAGCCAAAATTGCAAAACCCCAATTATATTGGCGACATACAGCTAAATCCTCTATTACTGAAATATATTAGGTGTGCACCAAATTGCCCTATTTATCCGGTAGTAAAATCCCTCCAATCAACGTCATAAGATATGCTCGAGCTGCATATATCACATCTTGATCCGTTGATTGTTCATTTATTCTAAATTCTCTTTCCAACCACGTCATCCGTATCCACTACCCATCAATGACATAGGCTGAAACTTCATTTCCCAATAAATTTGAATTAACATCATTTAGAGAATAAGTGTTGCGAAGTACCAATGACATAATATTAATCAGAACGCCAAGTTGATATGCGACATCTTACAATGTTATCGTCACTTCAACACAAGGAAAATAAAATGCATATGTTTCAGGCCTCCAACGCTCAATCAAAGCCGATATCAGTGTCGACATCACCTTAAATATGCGAAGAAATGTCTCTCTATATAATACGGATCGTGAAAGATATATCACAATCCGCTCATGTGGCTCTTCATTCGTCATTCATCGATGACGAATGATTCGTTCTTCTCGCTACAATTTGAAAATAAATTATTTAATACAATTAAATAAATAATTATTATTAATACTATAATTTTGTTAAAACTAAAATGAAATAAAATAAATTAAATTTAGCGTAGTCAGTTTGGTCGACGAAATATGAACATCATCAATACAACTCAAACATCTATTTACAACTCAATAGAATGTTTGATTCCAAGTGAAAAATCAATACAACTCAAACATCTATTTACACTACTCTACCCAAAGACTATAAACAACTAGTTTTTTGAAATTGAAAATAGTCGTTGGATTTAGTCACACCGGTGTGACGAGTTTCATTGATATTTTTATAAAAAAATTGTTCGTTCAACAACGGTCAACAAATTCAAAATTTTATTTGTTGGAACTCATCACATCGGCATGACGAGTCCCCTATGATATATTAAATTAATTCGGGTTGTGGGACCCATGTGACATGGCCATTAAAAAATATATCCCATGGAACTCATCACGCCGGAATGACGAGTTCCATGGGCACTGTAGCATTTGCCCTAGATCCCAAAATAAATTTCCTATTGTCCTATTGGGCCAAATAATCCACCCATCTAGATTTTTTGCCCAATTTCGCCCTCACCCAACCATATCCTAGGAATTTAAATTACTATTACAATCATATTTTTTTATTGTTTTATGTTTATCGTAATTATGTATATAATTGATATTATTGTAGATATCATAACTGTGAACATCTTTTAAATACACACAATTTACTATAAAACAGAATAATTTTAATTATTAGCATAAATTAGGGTTTTATTTTTTATTTTACCATAGCGAAATAATAACGAGAATAATAATCTACTATTATCGTTGATGGCCGTTACCCGTTAAATTATTACCGCTATCAATAGTTATTGGTGGGAAGCACTTCACACCCCTATTTTTGACAAAAAGAGATTTCAGATGGTACTACTACCCAATGACAAATACATAAAAATTATATCAAGTGGACCAATATAAATAAAAAAAAAATTATCTAACATAATTTATATGCATCTTTTAATTTAAAAACATAATGAGAATTATATATATTTAAACTTAATCTAGAAATATATATCAACTAGACCAATATATTTTTTAACATAATTTTATTTAAATTATTTTTTATTTTTTGTGGGACATACAATAGGCTATGAGCTAGATAAGCTTACCATACAAATTATTCAAATCCTTGTTTTCCATAGTAAAACCTTTGAATCCACATCCTTGTCAATGATAAACCAAACTATAAATAGAAAGCCTCTCAAGCCAATGTCTAACCACAAAATCATCTTTGAAATTAAACAAAGTAAATAATGAAGTCTCCCCATTGCTTTTCGATGTTGACGTTTCTTTTAGCTGTTCTATTCTCATCGTCATTGGCAACTTCGCCACATGAAGATTTTCTTCATTGTCTTCCCCTTCGTTCAAATGACTCCTCTTCCATTTCTAATGTCATCTTCACCCCTCACCAATCTACATTTTCATCTATCTTCGAGTCTACAATCCGAAACCTTCGGTTCTCGGCATCGAATACGCCGAAACCTTTGTTCATAGTGACACCATCGACCACATCCCATATTCAAGCAACGATTTATTGCGCCAGTAGACATGGCCTCCAAATTAGAACCCGGAGTGGCGGTCATGATTTCGAAGGCCTTTCTTATGTATCCCGAGTTCCATTCATCATCGTAGACTTGGTAAATTTTGGATCGGTTGATGTTGATGTAGAAAATAGAGTTGCATTGGTTCAATCCGGTGCTGTCCTCGGTGAACTTTATTATAGGATTGCTGAGAAAAGTAGCACTCTGGCCTTCCCTGCAGGTACTTGCCACACTGTGGGTACTGGTGGATACTTTACCGGTGGAGGTTATGGTTTATTGTTCCGAAAATACGGTCTTGCCGCCGATAACATCATCGATGCTCAACTCATTGATGTAAATGAAAGAATTCTCGATAGAAAATCAATGGGGGAAGATCTGTTTTGGGCGATTCGAGGAGGCGGCGGGGGCAGCTTCGGGATCGTCCTTTCGTGGAAGCTACGTTTGGTTTCGGTTCCGAAAACGGTGACTGCATTTACCATTACCAAAACCCTCGAAGAAAATGCAATCAAACTTGTTCATCGTTGGCAATACATTGCACATGAGCTTCCTAACGGAATCTACTCATCTGTCACTCTAAACAGGGTGAACAGAACAGTAATTGCTTCGTTTAGTTCATTGTTTCTGGGTGACAGCAATGGACTCGTTTCATTAATGCAGGAGAGGTTCCCGGAGCTTGGACTGGTTAAACAAGACTGCAGCGAAATGAGTTGGATCGACTCTATTCGTTACTTCGGCCTAATCCAGAACGAACCATTGGAGATCTTGCTTGATAGGAATTTCAAAAGCCCTCTTACAAGCCCTTACTACAAAGCCAAATCCGACTACGTCAAGAAACCAATCCCTGAAATGGGATTGAGAGGCTTATGGTCTATGCTTACCGACGAAGAAGCAGAGTCGGCGGTTTTCGGATTTTACGCCTATGGCGGGATAATGGATGAGATCCCCGAGACTGCAAATCCATTCCCACATAGAGCTGGTAATTTGTTAAAGATCTTATACAATGTGGGTTGGCAAGAAGATGACAATGTAAACTCCGAAAGATACATAACATGGATTCGAAGAGTTTACGATTACATGACTTCTTTCGTTTCGAAATCTCCACGAGAGGCGTATATAAATTATAGAGATCTTGACATTGGAACAAACTATGAAAATGGTAATACAAGTTATGCAGAAGCAAGCATTTGGGGTCGAAAATATTTCAAAAATAACTTCAATAGGTTGGTGCGTGTGAAGACGATGATTGATCCACAAAATTTCTTCCGGCACGAACAAAGCATCCCTCCTTTATTGTCTTCAAGAAACAAAAGACATCATTAAAGGACTGTGAATATACAATCCAATTACATGGCAAAATAACCAGTTTCATGATAGTTGAATGGGTAGAAGAATAAATTTTCTGTAACATAGATTTCTACCATTTATTTCACCAAATTTCTGTTTGATTATATATATAAAGTTGAATTTAACGTACTTGTATGCATGCAAGTATACATATGTTTTTTTTCTCATATATATAATATATAAACATGTTATGCATTATCAAATTAAACCTGTTGTTGATGGAACAAATTAAGCTGTAAATATGAGAAGTTCTACAATGCAACACCCTTAATATACAACTAAAAAAAGGCGTTACCGACTTTGTTATTAATTAAATAACAGCACCATAAATATCCCATGTGACTGGGACATCTTCATTTTGATAGAAGAGATGAGGAATTCTGCAAGTATTATTAGCTGATTCTCATGTGAATTTCCTACATTGCCTTCATCTTGGTTCATCAAACTCTTCTACGATTTCAAAACACCAGGTTCACAACACCAACACCCCCTTGTCATCGTAACAGCACCATAAATATCCCATATCCAATCAACAATTCATTGCTCGAAGAAACACGGTATACAGATTAGAATTCGAAGTGGTGGCGAGGGTGTTTCTCAAGTTCCATTTGTCATCCTCGATCTGCTCAACTTTCCATTGCGTACACAGGTCACGAGCAAGCCAGCATTTGGGGTGTCAAATATTTCAAGAATAACTTCAAGCGATGTAAAGACCATGGTTGATCCAATGAATTTCTCGAGTAATGAACATCCCTGTCATTGTGAATGACATCCCTGTCATTGTGAATGATTTATTGCAGAATTCACTACTTTTAGCATTGCTTTACCGCAGTTTTCGTATGGTTTTTGTTCATCATACCATATTTTCGGCTTTATACTTTACCGCAGGAAAAGAGCTTTTTAGAAGGGGAAATGAGCATTCGAAAATCCAAAAAGACAAACAACCTCAGAAAAGCTGCATTAGCATCAGATGGGAGCAGCAGTGTATTTGCCAACGCAAACAGTAAAATATAACATGGGCTGTGGGCCCATACCTAGTATTTTTAACTATTTAAAGCGTAAACTACACTGTTGGTCCCTTACATTTTTTGTTTGTTCGATTTTAGTCAGGTTCAAAAAAGTTTGATTCTGATATCTTACGTTATCGATTTATTACATTTTGATCCCTCGACTGTTAACTCTCGTTATCTCATTAACACGTTGAACCTGCATTCGAGTTTGCTAGGATATGTAGAAAGTTGAAGTACCATAATTCCGTCTTCTCAATGAAGGCAAGCAATCCAGTTGTCATGGTCCCGGCATACCGGCTGCTCATCGCTGAAATTTATGTTCATGGCTGGGATTTTCCGCTACATCTGGGAGTCACTGAAGCTGGAGAAGGTGAGGATCAAATCTGCGATTGGCATTGTCCTTCAGGTAGCTTCACAGTATACATATAACATACTAACATGGTCAATGGAAGCAATTGCCATAAAAGTTTTCATGTTGTGGTCCTGCACTGCTCCACAGCTATTGTGATTTTCACTCACCGAGCCACAGTTGATGGTTTAGGCGACACAATCAGAGTTTCACTGACCGAGCCACCTGAGGAAGAGATAGATCCATGCAGATGGATGGTCAACCTTGGTATGACAGCTGCCCAACTTCAGCCAGGGGTGGTAGGATTCGAAAACATTGATTAACTAGACATGTTTTATCACTACTCCTTTATGTTTTATATTAGAAAAAATGGCTTTTAAGTATCATTTATTTTATTTTTAAAATGCTAGGATTAATGTAAAAGTAAGTGTCTAAATTATACATAAAGTTAACTTTATGTGCCCAAATAACTTTTCGTTAAAAATAGGTATATAACGTTTCCAACGTTACACTTTTATGTGTCTAGACCGTTAACTTCGTTAAATTCGACAGAAAAGTGACACGTGTTAGGCATATAAAATTTCAAAATTTTAATAAGCCTGACACGTGTCACTTAACGGCTGAATTGAACGGTAGACACCTAAAAGTGTAATACCTGAAACGCTAGGTACTTATTTTTAACGAAACTTTTTTTAGGCACCTAAAGTTAACTTTAGATATAGTTTGAAGACTTATTTTTGCATCAAGTCTAAATGCTAAGTCCAACTTTTATTATTAGGTTAAGACCTAATACAAAGATAAATTTCCAAACTATACTATATGTTAACTTTATATGCCTAAAGAATTTTAAGTTAAAAATAGATGCTTAAACGTTTTTTCTATTATACTTTTAGGTGTCTATACAGTAACGATCGTAAAAAAACCGTCAAATGACACGTGTCACGTTTATATTTTTTTTGAAATTTTTATTTTTTAAAATTAACTTTAAAATATTATTATTATTATTATTATTAAAAAAACCCCAAATGTTTCAAAAATATCAAAAAGAACCGTAAGATTTCTAAACCCATATCATCCAACTCCTTTATCGGTCACCATTATCGCTACCGCCGTCGTCGGTCGCATACCCATCAATCATCTTTTCTCATGAGATCACAAATCCCCGCTCGTAACCACCCAAAATAACCAAGAAAAAGAAATGAGATTTTCATACATTTTTCAAGAGGAATACTAGTCCAAAACATTGACGCGAGTGAAATTTTTTACAAATAGAGTGCTTTTAATTCCCATTTTCAATGCATCAAAGAATGATCATGACAACAATAAGAAAATTATTTTATCCAAAAATCACTCTAAAAATAATTAAATATCAAAATAGTATCATTGTATCAATATTTATCGATCTAACACTCATTCATACTACATGACAATAAAGCGTGTTTTACATAATGCACTTTGCACATGTGGCATCGCACTCAATAAAGGAAAACTCTACAGGAAGCGACTTATGCTTATTTGGGTGATTTTTGGATAAAATTGTTCAATAAAAAACCATACCAATAAAAACGTGTAAAAATATATCTAATGGAAGTGGCGGAGATGGCAGAAACAAGAGGATTTGTTGGGATTTTTGACCTCATAGAAAGGGATGATTAGTGAGTATACGGCTAGCGACAGCGGCAATGTCAGTCAACAAAGGAGTTGGATGATTTGGATTTAGGAATCTTATGGCCTTTTTGATATTTCTAAAACATTTGGATTTTTTTAAAATAATAATAATTTTAAGTTAATTTAAAAAAATAAAAATTTCATAAAAATATAAACATGATACGTAACACTTAAAGATTTTTTAACGATCATTACTGCATAGACATCTAAAAGTATAATAAAGGCGTTAAACATTTATTTTTAACGAAATATTCTTTAAGCACCTAAAGTTAAATTAGGATATAGTTTAGACACTTATTTTTGCATTAAACCTTAGATTAATAGGAGTGAGCGACTTAAGAACTAAAATATATTGAACCGATAACGTACGAGACTAAAACCAAACATTTTTTTTTGAATCGATGACCAAATCAAACAGATAAAAAAACATAAGGAATCATCAATATAATTTACCCATATTTAAATTACTTTTTATCAAAATAAATATTTAAATTATTATTTTATAATCATAGTTATCTCAATTTTGATCAATGAAGCATTATCACGTCATTTGACTAAAGCCGCTAAAGGATTAAGAGTAAACTATGTATTTAATCATTTATTTATTTTAGCCTTTCGTTTTAATCACTGAACTATTCTTTTCCTCAAAATTATACCTAACATTATATTTGGGTTTCGTTTTGATCATTCACCTTTAAAAAATAAATAGAATTACTCGAGTTACTTAAAATTAATATCACGTCATTATTAAATAAATAAAAAAAATACATCAACAGTTCTATTTATTTTTTAACTGTTTGTGACTAAAATAAAATCAAAATAGAACAAAAACGTAACATTAGATATATTTAAAAAAGTAGTTGAAGAACCAAAATGAAATTGCGGGAATAAGTGAGTGACTAAATTCGTAGTTTACCCTAGAATTAATTGAGGGATTCCTTCTCTTTTAGCTAAAGAGAGGTTTTATAACGTTTTCATACCTGACCTTACAGGCATGAGCCTTTCTTTCTTCGTCCCATTTATTCAAGTTTGTTTATTTGTGGTACAATAGAGTAAGATTTGATTATTTGCCAAAGAATAAAAGTTCGGGGCCGCTACGTACATTTCTCAAGAACGTGCCAAGTTAGGCGAAATTATACACAAGTAAACTCAAATGAAAAAAAAAGGCTTCAAAATACCACAATGGGGGTGTCCAAAGAGTCGGGTTTAAGCCTCGGACTGGTCGGTGGACTTCTTCCATCCATTAGCTGGCAGTGCAGAAGACATTCAGGGCTAAGTGTGCTTTGCCAACGTCTTAGATGAAGATGAATCACCCTCAACACCATCATCTTCTTCCTCCAGGAAAGAACACTTGCGTCTTAGTTCATTAATCTTGAAATACTCATCATAGTGTGCTTTTCGTTGCTCCTGAAAACTCTTACCACTGCGATCTGTTTAAGAATATGATAAAAGTGGAACAGAGTCTGCAACCCATCAATCAAAGATAGAGACAAGATAATAAACTGTAAACTAGTGATGACCTTAAAGATCTAAGACAAATTTGGATGGTGGAGAGTGGTGAAAAGAGGTGTATCTTCATTCCTTTGGACCAATGTAACGTAGACATGTCATTTATTTTCGTAGTTTTGATTTTCTCAAATGAAGAAAAAAATTTCTTGTGATGATAAATTTCACCAGGAAAAACAAGGGCTTTACCCATCAAAAGGCTGCCTGCTAGAGCAAACCTCATATTATATTGACTGAGAGATTTTAAATCACTTAAAAGATACTAACCAACTTAAGGGAAAGTAAAACATTTCTCAATATTCTATGAAGAAAAAAAAAGGAAACATAAAAGCAATGTAAGGAGACCTTCGTTATCCATAGCAATAGCATCAGCTTCATCGGCAGACGATGTCCAGCCACCTGAGCACCCAGTTGTTTTTCTACTAGGTGAATCCGCATCCTTCAAAGAAAAGCATGATTCCTTTGCATCCAAAGCATCATTGATACAATCATTGAAACATTTTCCAACAGGAGATAAAGACCCTGCAAACCAAATCAGATTTTATGGTGAGAAATGCAATTCAATTTTCAGGGGAAATGCCCTCAACTAATGCAGAAAAAAGTGAAAGCAAAACTAGAATAACATTATCTAACATGAAAACGTGTACCAAAAATAATATAACAGGCATCATCAGAAGGGTACATGAGTATACCATCGTCATTAATCATAGGGTGGTATGGCGTCTTGGGTTCAGTTATTTTCTGCCGTACAGGTTTATTTGATTCAATTTCCTGAAGCTTTTCCTCATTCCATCTTACACGTCTACTGCTACCCCAAAAATGAATTATTAGATACAAAGCACAACTGGGAACTATATATATAACTATAAACATTTCTTCAGCAGAAAAATCTGTATTGAAATGAAAGTGGAAGCAGGAAAACGAACAAGTATGATGCAAAATGCGAATATAGTACAAAAACAGTTAATACTTGACTAGTTGAGTCACGAAACTGGAACACAGCCATAGCCTAATCAAAGAAGTTAACGTAACCTTCCTCATTAAAGGGTCACATCTACATTATGCTTTGTCACTTGGCACAACAGATGCGTAACACTAAAATGTGTAGATTTTCTACCCCTTTTTTCTTCTAGGGCAATAGGCTCATCTAGTGTTACATCATCAAACCATTAACTAATATGATCCTAAGTGATTGGACAATCCATCCTTTCTTAAAAATGAAGAATCTGCATGATCAATACACAAAATAAAGCGACATTTACAACTGCTAAGATGAAACCTAAATAGGCAAACTACGGATGAACAATTGGAGCCAGAGACATTGAGCTTGTTTAGCAATACAAGAAAATGCATCAAGTATAGCATAAATTCATATCACATGATATTAATAAAAATAAAAAGAAAATTCAAATATGAACAAGTTAACCGCAAAATCCATCTCCTTCCAGAAGAAAAAGAAAAAGGGAAGGGAAGAATACGGTAAGATATTAGAATTACTTCATCCGGAAAACTCCTTAGTGCCAAAAGCAAGCTTCGAATAAACCTGATGCATTTAAACATTATAAGAATCACATATCAAAAGAATTATGCAGATACCAGAAACAAAATGAAATGGAAGCATTGATTACTCGCCCCAATCACAAAATCAAACCTAGAATCAGAATAAAAGAAGATGACGCCTTATACATTGACTGAACGATATACAAATAACAAATCCAATTCATTGAATGAAAATTTCAATTGCATGAGAAATCTGTACCTTTGGATCGCTCCCGCGAGAAAGATGATATGTGAATTGCAATTAACGGTTGAGTTTAATTCGGATGCAATGTGAATTCAGCCTTTAACGACTCCCGCACATCTTGCCACCTCAAATAAACTTCAAATATAGGTCTAATTCTACTCTCGGTCCCTGTATTTATTATATATTTGAAATTTGATATAAAAGAGATAAATATTAAATTTATTCATAAATTTTGATTTAAGGTGTATTGTGATTCATAAACTTTGATTTATTGTAATTTTACTCATAAAATTTTATTTTTTTATTAAATTATATACATAAAACTTTATTCTGATTCAATTATATATATATTTAAAAAGTAAATATATTAAATTAATATAATTATTTGTATTTAGTGATGATAATGGGTCGGGTTGGGTCGGGTTTTTGGTCAACCCAACCCGATCGAAAAATATATATATCTTCCACCCAATCCCGACCCGACCCAAATTTTTAGAATATAAATCCAATATAATCCGATATAAAATAAGGACTTAATTAAAATAATAATAAAGAGAGGGAGCGTTATAACAATTATCTATAAATTTATTTGAAAACATTACACTATTACCCTCATCTCGGGTCGGATTGGAGTTTTTTCACCCTCCACCTTAACCTAATTGACCTTACACCTTTATAAAATCTGACCCGACCCGAATCCATTTTTTTTTAAATATGACTATCGGATTAGGTCAGGTCAAAATTTATTGATTTCGAGTTTAATTGCCATCCCTATTTATATTTGCAATATGGTACCATGTAAAATGATTGAGTCAACTACACCATATGTCCTCAAAGTATGACCCTCAACTTAAATTGACCCCTAAACTTTTAAATGTTCTAATTTCATCCCTAAAGTATGACTATCATTCTAAATTAGTCCTCAAACTTTGAACATTTTAATTTCATCCCCAAACTATGGTGTTCATTCTAAATTAGCCCCTAAACTTTTTAGACATTCAAATTTCATCCCAAACTATACTTATATACTAATCACATCACTTGTTAATAAAATCATTAGGCCAAGTTATATTATTATATGTTTGAAAAAAATTAGGTTAAATTATGATTGAAATTAGTTACATATTTGCATGATTTTGAAAATGAAATTGAAATATTTAAAAGTTTGGGGACCAATTTATAAAGAGGGTCATAGTTTAAGGATGAAAATAGAATTTTCAAAAGTTTAAGGACTAATTTAGAATGAAAGTCATAGTTTGATGATGAAATTAATTTTTTTTTTAAATTTAAAGATCAATTTAAAATGAAGGTTATAGTTTAAGGACATACAACTAGCTCGAAATGATTCTATATTTGAAAATTTTAATAACAATTTATGAAAATTGGATCACATCAAAATTACATTTATACAAACTGAATAAATTTATTTTATTATATAAAGTCATAATTCATATATTATATCAAACATTTTAAAAGATTATACATATATCATAGTTTTCTCTCATCGGTAAACCGTTCATTTTTTTTTCTTTTTGTCTTTATTGATTAGTGGAATCACCAACTTTAATGTTGGTTGCCGACTGTCAGTATTCTTTATTGTTCTTTTATTTTCTTATATTACATATTTGTTTTCTTTTATATTTTCTTTTCAATAAGTTTGCTTGTATGATACGTTTTCATCTCCTTTTATGACACGTTTTCTTCTGTCTTTTGGCACATTTTTCGATCGTTTGGTCGTTGTTTTCACTTATATTTTTCTAAGGGTTGATTTGACATCGCAACAACTGATCAAGATGTCACTTATTTATTATATTATTGATATTCCCTACTTTGGACCCTCGGATTGGATTTGGATATCCGTTATCCTTTCGTGGATAGCTTTTCACGTCATTCAATTCTGATTTGCAGTTTGTCGGTGGTCTTTCAATAGCTTGATCCTTTTTTATGGCTTGTTTGTCTATGCGATCAGATTTGTTTATATCTATATTTGTTCGAGTTTACTTTGTTATATTTTAATATTTCCTTGTATTGTCTTTATGTGATCTTAAGTTGCTAGTTTTATTTCAATAATCATAGGAAATTGTTCAAATTATATGCTTAATTAATAATTATAATTGTAAATATTTATTGTAATGTAAGATATTTCATATTTTGAATAAAATTATTGATTTTTTCTTAAAAAAAATAAATTTATTCCCATATAAAATGATCAAACCTAAATATTAATAATAATATAAAATGCTGACAAAACAATATGTTACTGATAATGCATTGACACAAATGATTTCTGTACACCTGACATAGTGAACAGCCAACTATAAATGCAGTCTTATCGTCTCATAATCCAATTATTTAACTTCCCTATGCATGCTTATTTTCATTTCACCTAACATTGAAACATGCTTGTCAACAATACATGAGAGGAACTAATGGAAAAGATCATATTTGGTTCCAGGAAAGAAAGAAACTGCTTCCATTCTTTCTTGCCAAGAACCACATACATTCCTGGAAAAGAAAAAGCTTTTGCATATGAAACAACATAAACAGAAAATGGTATCAGTTGTGCAGTGGATTTGGTCCACCGGGGACGACTTGATGTGATACGTCGTGAGCCGGCGTGTACTTTCTCTGGTTCCCAGAAACAGTGAGAGAAGTTGCAGAAGAATGGTGTGTTTCCCGGTAGGAAGCCCAAGTGAACAGTTGCCGACAACTAGAAAGATGGGTTGTTGTCAGCATAATTGCGAAAACCAGAAGAAAATAACTAAGAGTTCTCATGCTCTGAAAGGACTGCCAAATGGAAATGGATCTTCTGAATTGGATTTCCAGGTTTCAAGTCTATATATAATGGACAACAGGCAACCTGTTAGAATGACATGAATGTCCATATTGTAATCATTATTAGGCCAAAATCTATAGGATATGAAGTTTTTAAGTCGGCATATGTTAATGAAATCCAGCAAGATTTCCATATTTTGTGAGATAATTTTGGTGGTAAAACGCTGGAAGGCAAATAGGGTTTCTTAGCCAAGATTGATTGAACGTGTCACCTGTCATTTCCGAGGAGAGGTTAGTGGTGTTTTAAGGGACCAAAGCATTGAATAAATTGTACATATGATTGGAAATGTCAATGGCTGTGAATGCTCATCTCAACTGCCAACCCTCAGAAAGTGAAAATGGTTAACGTAAAGTCACCTGTCCTTTCACCTTTACCCCTTCCATTGTACCTAAGCTTAATATGAGCTTTTTAACCATTGTATTCATATCTCTTGGGGGCTACTACTACTAGTCTCTATCATCAGCAACGGGTCTCGTCTGAGGTTTCCAAGAGCTCATTATGAGGTTTTTTCCATTATGGATCTTTCAAATTCATCATAATTAAATGTGATGAGATTTGTTACTTTATGCATTATCACTGAAAGTACATCCACTTTCGCAAAAGATTGTAAACCTATAAGTTCATCATCGATAAATCCTACAATTGTTAAGGAAAACAAATTCATTTTGGTAAACAGCTGGGGAACTTTCTGAATCATTTTCTTGCTCATGTATGATTAACGATGCCTCTTGAAATCCTATAAACATAAGGAATTTCAGCTGAAACCATCACTTAAAAAACTAGACTTGTATATTTATTTTTTGTAATTCATTATATGGACAATTTCTTATTTTTAAATACCAGTTTGGCTATGTGTAGTATGTTTTCGGATCAGCTATGGACATAGATAAAATGCATAGAATCCATATATGAGAGAAATCAAACACGAATTGAGTCCAAAAACACGCTACAAGGGTCATGCTACAATTTTGTTGGATGGGATATACATTTTTTAAATTAAATTTATCAACGAAATTTATTCTTTTTTTCAGAATTTTTTTTGACAGTGGATGGATAGATGATCATTGATAATAACGGTGACAAGGATAGTCGGCGACGAAGTTGATGTTTTAGATTTTTAGGGTTTTCTTTTAATAATAATAATAATTTTTAATTCTAAAATAAATTTTTTGAATGATTGATGATTTTTTTAACCATCATATAAATCAGATATTTAAAATAAAATTATGGGTAAACTATGTCAAATATCACTTATCTTTAAGATCGAGTTCGAAAATGACACTAACGTTTCAATTTTGTCAATTTTAGCACGAACATTTATGTTTCATTGCAATTATGCCACTCCGCTGTTAATTCGTTAAAGGGATGATGACATGGCGTTCCAATGCCGTGACGGTGATGACATGAACGATTTTTTATTTATTAAAACAACATAGTTTTTTAAATGACTATTTTTATTCCTAAAATGGTGTAGTTTTATAATTTAGGGTTTTATTATTTACGAAACCCATTAAACTATTCATTAGTATTCCAAAACAAAATTAAAACGTTGAAATGGTTTTCCAAATACCACCCACCAGATGAAGGAACCAAAAGTTGAAAAAGTCTAAAAATTCTCTATCACTGAAAAAGATTTCGTTCATTTCATCTTTAACTGCAAAAGCAAAATGGAGAAACGATTCCTGCGATCTAAAGGAATGGTGAGCATGAAATATGGTAATGGCGTTTGAAAATCAAATGTTTTTTAAGATTTGTTCGAAATACTTTTAGGTTTTTTTTATGAAAACACTCTATCTCTAAGTATTTGTTGTTTTCTTCGTTAATTATGTAACTTAAATCGGGTTTTCTTTCTTAGGTTTTTTTTATAGATTTGTGATATAATATGATAATTATGGGGTTTTTTGTTGGGATGATTTTTGGTATTCCGAGGTTTTTTGTTGGGTTTTTAGCGTTTTATACAATCTAAATATGATTGTTGTTGTTTTCCCACATGAATATAAAGTTGTTGCATATGACTGTATTGAATGAATAGTTTATCCATACAACAACAACAACAACAAAACCCAATTCCCATATGTATGGGGTAAGGGGGAGGTAGGGTAGTAGGCTACCCCCAACGCCAGGTTGAGAGTAGCTTCCGTGGAAGACCTCCGGCAGTCAGAAAAATTAAAAATTTAGATAAAATGCAATGCATGTATAAATAAATACATAAATACATAGCTAAACAGTATTCATATGCAGTCATTAAAACCATATGTGCGTCTGTAACGGGAATTAATCCCTGCATAATAATCCCTGCGAAAGAATCTCTGCATATAGACAGAAACATAAGATCCGGCTAAATTTAAAAGAGGAAACATAAAGAGAATGATACACAGAAGTCAACGTTAGCAAGCCCAGTTCTAATCCTTCATAAATACCAATAACAGAAACGTATAAAAAGTATAAGTCATGGAAAATACTACAAAAACATTAAAAGAAGACAGAGATGATACACCCTATAGATGTGACCCACACTACTCGACTACCCTAGTCTTTAGCCTCCATATTTTCCTATCAGAGGTCATGTCTTCGGTAAGGGCTAAATCCCTCAAATCAGATCTCAAGCAGTCTTCCCACTTTCGCCTTGGTCGTCCTTTCCTTCTGGCACCGTCGATTAATTGTTCTAAAATTGTCATCAATGATGGTCCCAAATTTTGTTTTTTTACAAGTTAATGATGGCCCATCTATTGATTTTATATATTTTCTATCAGTTTTCTAAAAGTAGGGTAAGGGGACCACCATTATTGTAAAGTAAAAATTTAATGCTAATTGTTTTTTAAGGAGTTTTGACAGGTAGAGAATCTGAATATTTCACAATTGTTATGCACCATGGTGGCTTTATGGTAAGTTCATCTGGTTTTAAATACACTGGAAATGAGGTAAGTTTTATTGATATGTGCCATGTGGATAGTATGTCAATGCTTGAAATATATGATATTGTGGAAGAGTTAGGTTATTATGGTTTATGGCATTTGTTTTGGAAACGATTTGGGCCTAAATTTACAATTAAGCCATTAAGAACAAATTGTGATATCATTAGTATGTTAGAAGATATGCCCATGAATAGGCACATACATTTGTATTTGGAAGAAAATAAAGCAAACTTTTCGAACGAAACCACTAAAACCATATATCATAATGCAACTGAAACTCATGAAAATGTTATAACTAAAATGCATGAAACTAATAAAACTTATGAAACATTCAAGACTGAGTTAAACTCTGAACAAGATACATAATATGTTGCTGATGACACTGATTCTTCTATTAGTGGTTTTGAATACAGTGAAAATGATGTGAGTGAGGAAGAGGGGTCTGTACATTAGGTACATGTGGGAGTAGATTTTGAAAAAGATTTTAATGGGTTAAACAATAGAGATGAGGGAAATATTGATGCATCTTCGAATGATGAAAATGAAACTGATGGAGTAGAGACATTGTATACTGAAAATGAATCTGATTCTGAGTCTGACTCTGACTCTGATGATCGAGGAAAACATAGATGTCTTGAATTTAACCATGAAACTGATATGGAAAAACCACAGTTTAAAGTTGGAATGATTTTTGGTGATAAGTTTAAGTTCAAAGAGGCTGTCAGGCAGTATGTGATTAAGAATAAGGTTGATATCAGATTCAAAAGAACTGACAGTGTTAGGGTGTATGTTGTTTGCAAGGAAGGGTGTTCTTAGTTTGTATCAAGTGTCTTATGCTATAATATTGTTCTCATTTACTTTATTAATTTAACTACTTTTATTTATTCCATTGATAGGAATATCATGCATACATGTTGTTTTTGTAATGGTGTTAAATAATCAAAGGCCTGAAGCTTATGTTCACAACTCTTATTTTGTAATCATTTAGCGAGAAATTTATAGTCACTTCATTCAACCCATGAGAGGCCCTAATCAATGGCTAACTGACACCACTTGTGAAACAGTTATACCACCAACAATTAGAAGGCCACCAGGAAGACCTAACAAAAATAGGAGAAAGGAAACATATGAGCCATCAAAATCTCATGCTACAATGAGCAAGAAAAGTCTGATGATGTACTGCTCCAAGTGTGGTCAACCAGGACACAACCAGAGGACCTGCAAAGGGATAATTAGAGGCAATATGTCACTTAGGCGACCTAATTTCAACTCAGCAAAGGAAACTAACCAAAAAAGGGTTGAATCAATACACGTCAGGACAAAACTACATGTATATATTTCTTATTCTTTTTTAACCTTATATCACAATTATGTTTTCATATTTTGGTACACTTATGGATACATGTTAGGAGAAGAACTACAACAAGGATCACACCATCATCAAAGGCTGCAACATCACAAGCACCATCATCACAAGCTACAACATCATAAGCACCATCATCATCACAAGTTGCTAGTCCATTTGTCTTTATTTCTACTCCAGGCCACACATGTTATCCAACCAACCAACAAACAGAAACTGTAATGACAGTTAGATGGATGCCACCCTCACAAGAAGATGTGATTGGCAACCAACATTTAAGCCAGTCAAGCACTATAACCCAAATTTCCCAAGAAGACTGTGGAACTATTTTTGCAAAACGACCAAGGATGTTATAGGTTGTTATTCTCCTACTTTATTTAGATGATTTCAGAACTTAGATACTGGAGTTGATATTTTGGATTGAATACTTATGTTGATGAACTAGGTCTTTTGAACACATGTGTTTATTCACATTGATATTTTGTTTCATATTTTGTTGGATTTTATAGGTTGATACCGTTTCAACTTAAGTGCTTATGTGCACTTTATGTTTTTGTACACATGTGATTATTATCAACCACAACTCTAATTGAATGACATTTATTTTGTTTATCATTCATGTTGTCTTATGTTATTGAATGTCATCTTTTAATTGAATTTTTTATTTCAATTACATCCATAACTTGTTTATCATCCAAGTTATTTTAACAAGCATAGTTTCACAGTGTGATATTTAAAGGTAAAAAAACTGTAAGCATCAAAGCACCAAGTTTTTTTAACAACAAAGTTCAACAGTTAATTTTACAAAATCATCTAACAAGCACCATCATTTTTAAAAAGCACCAACCCATTAATCCTAAAATTTTCATCCTCAATTTTTCGTCCCATTACAAACCAAAAGTACCACCATCACAAATTCCACCCTAAAATTTTATCACCATTGTAGTTACATCAATGGTTTACGTATCAACCCAATATAAACCCTAAAATAAAAATAACACTCCAAACAATTCGCTCATTCCTCCTTCTAATTTTAGTTGCTTTGATTTTCTTCAACAATCCCACAAGAACAATGTGTGCTCGTAGAGTCATTAGAGGATCAAACCAGCAGAAAAATCGACAACCAGGTATAACCAAACTCCCATAGTTTTTGTAGCAAAAAAATCTTCTCTCAGGATTATCATTGGACCATGATGTCCTCAGTTGAGCCGGATATCCAACCCATAGACCAGATATGTAAGGGATTGCTCCATTATTCTGCTTCTTATACCGACGAACTTCTTCATATTTCTTATACTGCTGATGAGAAGATAAAATAAAGCAAATAGGGTAATTTAGGATTAAGAGTTATAAATTAGTATTTTACATCACACAAAGTACCAATCAAATACCAACAACAATCCTATGTGGAGTAAATAACTTTTAAAAAATCATCAATGTCATCACCGTCACGACATTAGAAGCCATGTTATTGTCCCGTTAACAGATTAAAGGCGGAATGGCATAATTGCAGTGAAGCATAAACGTCAATGCTAAAATTGATAAAATTAAAACGTTAGTGACATTTTCGAGTCCGAACTTAAAGATCAGTAGTATTGGACGTAGTTTATCCTAAATTTATTAATACAGTTCAATATTTCACCTTTGCTGCCTCCTCGCAGTTTTATTAGAAGTCTATTTTGCCGCCGGAGATAGAGGTTTCGATAAATTTATACTATTTTGGGGAATCCGGCGAGAGGAAAGAGATGGTAACGTCACCGGTGGTCAACACGTATCCACTCTCCAGCTACACCTTTGGCACCAAAGAACCCAAGATGGAGAAGGACACCTCCGTCGCCGATCGCCTTGCTCGCATGAAAGTCAAGTAATTTTATCACTTCCTCCTTTTTATTTTCCTTCTTCAATTACAAGTTTTGCAGGGTTTTTTAAAAACCCTAAATAAACCTCCGATTTCCCTTTCGGTTTCCCCTATTGTCAATAGAAAGTTGTTTTTAATTTCCGAATGAGATTCATTTATGTTTTAATCAATAAGGTTTGATCAGAAGGATATTCGTTTGGAACTGATTGATCAAATAAAATAAAATTACTAATTAATGTATCATTAGATTTGAACTTTGGTTTAGGCAGATTGTCGACTTCTCTTTTTCCCTGTTTCTGGGAAGGTTTGATCTTTGATGAAATAACAAGAAATTGATGCTCTAATTATAAACTAAAAGTTCCCGTTAAAAGATTAATTATGGATGTAATAAGTTCACTGTGAAAACTGGCATGTTGAAACCTAAGAGACTTTATACAAGCACAAGTTTGTAATTGCTGCTTTCTGATTGTGAGTTGCAGTTATATGAAAGAGGGCATGAGGACAAGCGTTGAAGCAATTTTATTGGTATGTCATTGTGCTTCTGATTTGCATCATGCCATAACATACTATGATTGAATTTACATTGTAATTTTTATGATTCATTATCTTTTGTGAAAATTTATGATAATACTTTTTACTCCTAGATTTCTCCGCACAGTAGTTGAGCAGTCATGTTTCATTGCTTTTATTTTGAATTATTTATATGATTCTCCTCTGTTACCTGTTTTATGTTGACAAGTTATATTCATTGCATTTAAACTTTGGAAAGGCTATGCCGTAGTTCTATTTAATTTTGTCACGACAATATCTGCCTTTATTATGGAACGATAAATGCGTTTTTTGGGGACTTGGTGCTTTATCATTCTTCTTATAAAAAAATAGAATACCCTTTAAATTTTTATGTTATGAATGACTTAGTAACTTTAACGTTGCGGCCTCTAGGACTTTGGAACTACTATATTTGTAGATGTAAACATCTAAAGGCTTATTTGTCCCATATTCGGTTACTGATAAGTTGTTCCACTTGGAAGAAAAGGTCATTCAAATGTGTTAGAAGGCCTCTAATTCTTACTTTTCAATTTTAGGCTGTTACTCGTTCATTTGTAAGGGTATTAGTCCTTTAGCCAAGAAGGAAGAAGCATGTTCTTGTATATCAGCTTGTCGTTTTTATTAATTCTGATCCAGTAATCAGTATCACAGCTTGATTCATGCTTAAGCATCAGTGGTCAGTATATCTGGCCCATTGCTGAATTTTGTTTTTCATAGAATGGGAGGTTTCTATATCACAAAGGTCTATAGCTTATAAAAGTGTTTATGTCTGACCACTAGTCAATCTGGCAGAAATTTACAACTATGTTTTGCATATGTAAAGAGGAGATTATGCATCAAGAAAAAGAGGAATGTCATCATATTTCATGATGAATTCCTTTTTAGAGGCTCAAAATTTTTAAATGTTTTTTGTTGACTATGATAATATCTTAAAGAATTAGTGGTCTTTTTTTGCCATTATGAGTTTATGTTGTACTTTTGCTACTTTCTCCTTTACCTGTAACATACCGATTGGTATTATCATCCAGTGTTTACAGCAAACGAGGATTCTAAGAGATCCTTTTAATGCTTGTTCTTCTATTTCATTTTCCATTTTCCATTTTCTCATGCAGGTCCAAGAACATAATCATCCTCATATTCTTCTTCTGCAAATTGGGAATACTTTTTGCAAACTTCCTGGTGGGCGACTGAAGCCCGGAGAAAATGGTATCGTCTTATTTTTTTTTACTTTTTTCCTTGTACATCATACCGTCATCTTCTCACCATACGTCGTTTCTGGTGTGCTATTGTGGAAACTCCGTGTTGATCATAACACCTATGGTCATCCTTTTTTGACTTCAGAGATTGAGGGCTTGAAGAGGAAGCTGACGAGCAAGCTTGGAGCTAATTCACCTGCTCTTGTGCCAGACTGGCAGGTATAGATTTGTAGTAATTATCTCACCAGGGTGAGGAGGGCAGGTTTTTCCTCACACTTACCTTTGAACATTGCAGCGATATAGTTTGGAAACAATTTCTTTTAATGCTCAACTTTGTTACTTGTTACTTGCTGTAGATCGGTGAGGCCGTGGCCATCTGGTGGAGGCCCAATTTTGAGACGATGATGTATCCATATTGCCCTCCCCACATCACAAAACCCAAGGTAATCCACAACTTCATGTGTCTACTTATGAGCTATGCCAGGCTTTCTTTAACTTCCTCATATATCATTAATATTGCAGGAGTGCAAGAAGCTCTTCCTCGTTCACTTGTCTGAGAAAGAGTACTTTGCAGTACCGAAGAATTTGAAATTACTTGCTGTACCGTTGTTTGAGCTCTATGATAATGTGCAGGTTAGGAGTATACCCTACTTTATAGGAAAAATGATAAGCTTTGTTGCTCTTCTGATTCTTCCTTCTAACAAGCCACATTTAAAATGTTGAACAGAGATATGGGCCAGTCATATCAACCATTCCCCAGCAGCTTTCTAGATTCCAATTCAATATGATCAGTACATGATCTTGGCATGGGATGTAAAAAATTGCGAATCTTTCTGCTTGCTTTCTGGCTGCTACATGGGAAGATATCGGTTTGGGTTCAAGAGCTATAGCCTGTACGTGACAGTATATAACGAGACTTCTGCATTACTTTTTCTTTATGGTTCATTGAGACTTTTACATTACTTATGTTTCATAAGTTGATTGACTGAGAATATAACGTATGGTAAACTCACGTACTTTGTTTACGTACCATTTGGGCAAAACTATTTTATGGGTTGTAGTGTACCAACTTAGATGGTTTAATTTAATGGTTTAATACGCTTTACGAATGCTTAACAAGCTATGGTTGTGTGGTTTTAATGGGTTGTATGTTGGTCATGGATGTGGATGTTTTTCATGTACAACTGCATAGCTCCCGGTGTAGGTATTTTTTTTAATCTCTCAGCAATGTATGATTTTTATTGAAGAACAATGGTCAATCAAGTTTACCTTATCTCTCATTAAAAATCCCCTCCAATTATAAGAGGGAAAAGAGCGCATATTGATGATTAAGGTTATTAAAGAGACGCCTACATAGATATATTCTTGTAGTCTTAATACCCTAAAAAGTAAAACAGCCTTGCAAAAGAAGAAAAAATTGAGCCCACTGTACTGTTTACAAACATCCTTCGTGATTCACCCTACTAAAAAAATCAGAGTGCGTCAATCAATATCAGCAGGTAAGAGAGGATCAGACAAAAAAAAAATACTCGATTCAAAATATCTGGCTCATTGATACGTTGACTTAGTGTAAGAAGTTGTGTACTTCACCTTAAAAAAATTTCAACCCAACCCACTAAATATTGCATGTTAAGGGGTTTAGCCATATAGGTACCTAAAAGTTCGGTTTATTTTATAATATATATATATATAATTTTAGATTATATTTTTATTTTAGGTTCTTAAATGTTTTTCTTTTATAATTAAATCCAAATAAATTTGACCCCAAATATATTAAGGGGCCTATTTGACTTAACTGGTCAAAATCAGGAGCCTATTTAAAAGTTTATTATGGTTAAAATATACCATTAGTTCTTACATTTTAGTAAATTTTATGGTTCCATCTTATATTTAAAATTTTAATCATAATAACTTTTTTAATAATGATAGTCCAATCATTAATACGGTTGATATATTTTATTAAATTTATTACTACCTATTCCATAAATTCAACATCTAAGAGAATCTAATAGGATAATCAACGAAAAAGATATAATTATCATTGATGATAGAGATTATGTTGTGTAGTATATTACTCGTGATGATACAATTAATTGTCAGTATATTTGGCATTTATGATGATCTTATCGATGTAAAGACCAAGTTACCTCGTATATTCAAGCTAGTATCTGGCTTGGACTCGATTGACAATCATTCTTGAATAATATCCATTTAAGAGATTTCTTAGAAAAGGTGGACAACTTGTTTGTCGATGTGAAGAATTGTTTTTTTTTAGTTTTGGTGTTTCATCAAATTTGAGATTTTATCTTGAACTCATTGTATTTTCAAAATTCGTAACAAGGTGAGTATTATTAGAATTTGATCCTATTTCAATCTGACTCAAATTGATTGTTGATGATAGAGATTATGTTGTGTAGTATATTACTCGTGATGATACAATTAATTGTCAGTATATTTGGCATTTATGATGATCTTATCGATGTAAAGACCAAGTTACCTCGTATATTCAAGCTAGTATCTGGCTTGGACTCGATTGACAATCATTCTTGAATAATATCCATTTAAGAGATTTCCTAGAAAAGGTGGACAACTTGTTTGTCGATGTGAAGAATTGTTTTTTTTAGTTTTGGTGTTTCATCAAATTTGAGATTTTGTCTTGAACTCATTGTATTTTCAAAATTCGTAACAAGGTGAGTATTATTAGAATTTGATCCTATTTCAATCTGACTCAAATTGATTGTGGAAAGTAAGAAACCTAGTTTGATTGAAAGTATGAAGTATATTCTATTTTACGTTGATTAAGTGTATAAAACATAGTTAGAGTAGATTTATTACTATGCAAATTTCTTCTATTTTTTACATTAGTGGCAATTTTCTTCTTTTGCTCATGATTTTTTTTCAAAAAAAAATTTATTTAATTTATCACGTGAAATCTTAGTGTTTATTTTATTACGCGGTCACCAGACTTGCCATTATCTTCTATACTTTCGCTATGACGAGACGTGCAACCTTAGATGATCCTTTACAATTCTTGGTTGTTTCTGCGTCTAAGTAAGTCAGAGTGCATGAAACACTAATAGTAAATAGTTAATCAAATCACATATATCTTTATATTCTATTTTAACAGTTATTTTTAATTCATATTATTTAGTTATCAACCAACAATATTTTAATACACTTTTAATTTAGATTTTTAAAATATATATATATATATATATATATATATATATATATATATAAATTAAAATTATATATAAATTTCCATCAAATGTATAATATTATATATTGATTTTGATTTTGATTTTGTTCTGTCATATATGATAAATTTTATTTTGATTTAGTTGTACATAAAATTTAAATTTTGATTCAATTATACACATTATAAAAACACATCTATTATTTTTCATATCAAATAAATATAACTATTTGTATATACAATATTTATCCCAAATAATGTCCTATTAAATCAAATTAAAATACTGTATAATATTTATCCTTTAACAGCCATATAATTCTAGCTTTTCGTTGTTTATAAATTAAATGAAATAAAATTTGTTCTTCACGCCAAACGAAGTTCTGAAAATTTCAAACAAATTAAGAGTACAAGACATGTAACTAATACCAACCAGAAATTATTGAAAAAAGTAAAACTTTTGCATAAAAGTATGGATAATGTTACATTAAAACTACAAGAGTCCACTGTAAAACCCACACATTAATTAGTCAAAAAAAAAAAAGAGTTTTGACAAGAAGAAAAATTCTTAAAAACAATGCAATTAGGCAATGTTCTCAAATGGTAATAATATGCATAGGGAGAGGGAGAAGCAAGAAGGCTGCGTTTTTAGCATGCCCGAGCTTTTATAATGTCGAAGCTCATTTCACTTGGATCTGTTGCCTGCAACTCAAGTTGAATGCCATCCAATTCCCTCTTGAATCTGTCTTTTGAGCTTGCATATACCATCTTACTTCTCACCCTCGATGCATCGGGTGCCCTGTAAGTTTAGAGACTTTTATTCGAATCTATGATGAATGAATGAGTGCAATGATATTCATTATGTCTGTGATCACGATAAATAAGGACGCTTAAAGCAATTTAAGTCCCTGACCGATACCATGCAATGAAGAAGATTTTGCTTTTCTGGCAGTTCTCATTAGTGGTGAAATCGAAATCGAAGACAGCATAGCGGCATTCATCGGCAGGAAGAGCTGCGGAGAAATCTTCATAGGTTTCGCCAGGGCCGCCGAGTTTATCGATCACCACCTGCTGGTCATGAATCTTGAAAACGATGAACCTGTAATTCCTCTTCGCTTTTAGCTCCAAGAATTTCAGTTTACATGCATCATCTACAGCCATTCCAGATGCCGCGTTCGCCTAATTCCAAGTTCAAGATCCACATGTGACATAAAAGAGAATCAATAAATATATGAATCAAATCAATATAAAATGTGGGGGAAAGGGAACTCACCATTTTGTCGTGTCCAAGGGAAGCAAATTCTGTGAGAGGGAAAAGAGGAAGAAGAAGAGGAAAGGAAGAAATGAAGAAGGATGGGGAAGAGATCATAGTTGAGGGAAGAGGGAAGATATTGAGAGGAATAAGGTGGTGAAGAGAAATTTGAGGGCAGAACAATGGTAAACATCTCTCCAAAGGCTAACCATGTCCACAACAACAATTGTTTTGAATATCAGCAAAACGCTCGTTGGTTTCTGGTTACATGGCCAGTTTTCTGTTCCCTATTTTCAGTAAACTTGTTTCGTTTGACATTTTATCCCTTATTATCAGATTAGTTTTATCACAGAAGCTCAAAAATTTTGGCATATCATAAGGATAATAGTAACAACTACCAAGATGTTAAGTACATTAATCAAAAGTCATACATTCACATCTTTATATTGCGAACGAAGAAAAATGAATTTGGAGGATTGTTCTATAGTTATCTTCGGTAAGATATGATTTAAATTAATCGACTAATAAATCAAGTATCAATAGTACTTATTAGAAATAATACAATAATAATAAAATAATAGTTAACCTTAAATAATATTACCGTACAGAAATATTAATTTGAAACATAAAATTATTCGGAGGCTTCAAGAGAATTATCGAGAGTACTTGTGTAGAGGATATGGCAATGGGAGGATAGATTCGCCCTCTCCTCGGATGAGACTAATTTGCACTTCTACACTCATGTGCAAGAGGTTCTATAGTGCACATCACATTATGTGTAAGAGGTTCTATAGTGCACTCATGTGTAGAGGATATGGCAATGGGAGGATATATTTATTTATTATTATTTTTTTATACTAAATTTATAAAAAAAAATTCAAAATATAATAAACTGGCTTCGCTAGAGCGAGTGTCCCAAAAGAGAAGCTTTGTTGTTTGCGTCAACTGTAGTTCGTTTGTTTTTCCTTTTTTTTTATGCACGGTAACCTTCGAATAATTATTCTCGACCGTTGTCCATCCCAGCCAGACCAGCCATGACTTCCGGTTCTCGTTAAATTTTAATAGAATTATAATTAAAATATAATTTTTAATTAAAATTAATAATTAATTTAAGTAATTTAATTTGTTTAGAATTAGAATTTTTAAGTTATATAAGTTAACATTACAATTAAATTTTAATAAATGATTAATTCTAAATAAATCTTTATACCTTTTAATATTAACATAATAAGGGCAAATTTACTTGTGATACGTTTCGGTATACGTTACGGTATACGACGTGTGCTATAGACTTATCCATCATAAATGCTTGTAAATTATAGAATAATTATATATTATTGGTAAAAAGATAGTTGAGTTACTTGCATTTTATTTTAGAAAAAAATTAATGTGACAATTAAATTATTTTTATCTAATATGACCTTTCAACTTAGAAAACAAAGTCAATATTGTTATCCTTTAACCAACGTTTTTCGTCGTTGGCCGTTACGATACTGGCATATCAATTTACGGTGCTGACATAGTGATTCACGATAGTGACATGGTAATTTACGGTGTTGACATGACCGTTCAAAGTGATTGATGATGTGATAGATGAACTAAATTGATTTTTTGATCTTATTATTATTAATGTCTCATGTTATCAATCTAATGAGAGAGAACGTCTCACTGCTTATTATGTAAATTGTCAATAATTTTAACGATTAAAATGTTAGTTTTAAAAGTTTAGTGTCTAAAATAAAAAAAATAAAATATTAGTGATCATGGTATATTTTACCATATTAAAAAGTATATATATATATATTTTTGCTTAATAATTGATATTCAATCTATTGACCAATTAATCCATATCAAGTATTATAAAGATCGATTATGAAAGCGATCCTCCTAATCTATTATATTTTATTCACAACATTAAAATTTAAATTTTTAACTTTACTTAATAGATTTAATATCTTATCTTATAAGACCAATTGATTGTTAGTATCTTAAAATATATTTTAATGAGCAAATACATTTGGCCATTAGCCAAACTGCTCATCTTTACTTAGATTATTAAATCTAGACTCGTTGAGGAGTACTCTCATCTTTTTTCCCTAAATTCTCATTTCCTCACTTTAAGTAAGAACGTGATTAAAATTAAAATGTAAAAAATATATACACTTTAATCATCGTTGAAGCTTAAACACGAAACTTGAAAATAGATTATAATTAAATTAAAAATTAAAAAAAAACTCGCCCGACCAACTTTGACTTTTTTATTCGTACAAAAGAGTTTATTATATTATTGTTTTGTCGGGCACCTGAAATTTTGTGTGTCAAGGACAGGTGCTCGTGTCTCTTTCTTTCCTTCTTTTTTTAATGTATTATGTATCGTATATAATTATATTATAATTGTTTTTAGAATATCATTGTTGAATTAAAGAAAAACAGCACCTAAATACAGAAGATAAGTAATTAAGGGGGCAAAAAAAAAAGTTTACTTCTAGAAATACTCCCCTTTCGCAGTATACACGTATTCAACATTTTCATCTTTGACTCCAACTAAACACTTTCCAAGCTTGGAAAATGTTCTCTGTTTGTGCGCGTGTTTATATATATATAAAACCAGCTTACCCTTATTCCCATATGTAATTGAGTAAGGGGGAGGTAGGATAGTAGACTGTCCCCAACGTCAGGTTAGTAGACTGTGTCTCTAACGTCAGATTGAGAGCAACTTCCGTAGGAGACCTCCGAATTATGAATTGCCCGCCGTGGGACTCGATCCCACGACCACAAGGTTAAGAGCCTTGTGCTCTACCAAATGAGCTGGACATGCAACTCGTGTTTATATATATATATATATATATATATATATATATTATTTGGTAAAATGCAAGTTTAGTATCTCAATTGTTATTTTTGTTTCATTTTGATTACTTATCGTTAAAAATTAATGATAATGATCTGTCATTATAAGATAATGTCATGTCATCATTGAAAAATTAAAAAATGATACACCATCAGTTTTGTTAATTTTTACAGTGGGTGGTCAAAACGTAAAATTATGTATGATTTTGAAAAAAATAGTAGAGTGACCAAATTAGAACAAAAGTGATAGTTAAGGTACTAAACGTGAGTTTACCCTATATTATAAGAGGATAGACATTACGTGTACATTTTTCCTAATTTAATGTACTATAATATTTTAAAATTGATCTTGCGAATTAATCTATTAATAATTATCTAATACACTTGCTAAAGGAATAAAAAATTAAACAAGTGAAATTTATTTACAAGGAAAGACTTAGGGGACCGATTGAAAACTTTAAATCCTTAAATAATTAAGTATGTTCTATTGACAATATGTTTTTAATCTAAAATTTCATAAATTCGTTTTCTAAAAATTTATAAATATGTTTCCTATTATAAAATTATATGTTCGTCTCTGTTTTTTTTACATGAATATATGATAAAGTGAAAGGTTCATAAATAATCTTTGTACTACAGAAATAAGAATATATTTGAGTATTAATTAAGTAAATATAATATGTGTGTATGGGAGTTGAATATTGCAGCCGTTTCTGGAGTTGAATGCATGAGGGAGGAGGAATTGTTGGCAGAAAATTTTAATTCCCTTTCAAACCATACCACTTTCCAAAATCCAAGTCATTCCTTTAAATTTGATCAAATTGGTCCTGAGATTATTTTGGTTAAATTGGTCTTTGAATTTAATAAGTTTGGTTAAATTATCCCCAAACTTTGAAAATGTGTCATAAAGTGGTCTATAAGATTAACTGTGTTAATTTTTTTTATATTCTATCAATGTGGACCATTAAGATTGTGACATTATCGATAAATAATGACGGTTTTAATTTCATTTTTAAAAATATGTGTTAATCTTATGGAACAATTTGTGTTATATTTTCAAAGTTTATGGTAAATTTGATTAAACTTGCTAAGTGTAGGGGATAATTTTGTTAGAAAATTTTAGTATTTTTTTCACACGAATGTAACTTCAAAACTGAGCTGAAATGAAAAGATTAAAACTATTGAAATGCACAACAGATAAACCCCTCAAACTATTGAATATCGAGATACAATGAAAAAATATAATATTGAATAGATAAAATAAATAATAAAAATATATCGAATTTATGAGGTTCAATGCAATGTTATCTACTCAGATGTTACCGTCGGATGATAACTTCACTGTCCCCAAACTATTACAAACAAATAAAATTTCTTTAGAAAGTGGGAAAAAATATAACTAAACGGGAGAGATGGTTGAGATTATCTCAAATGAAAAATAATTAGACATGCATTTAGTTTAACTCTAGAGACTAATTTGTAAATAACTTGAAAATTTAAGTACTAAAGGTGCTTTTAATTTTACTTTGGTGGCGGCCTAAGTTGAGATTGCAAGCCACCTTTGATAAATTTGACTAAAATAAAAGTTGAGCGGTTAATTTGATAAGATTAAAAATAAATTTGATCAAATTAGAAAACAATTTTATTAAAATTACCAAATTCAAAGTGATTTGTGTTCTATTCCTAGGAAATATTTGCAACTTAACTTGGGTCTACATTGTATTTTCATCAGTTAAAATATTTATACTATTTTATTTTTCAATTTAATCCTAAAAAAGTTTATTTAATTTGAAATTCACTACTATCATTTTTATTTTTTTATAATTTAGTCCAATATTTTTTTATAATATTTTTATTTAATATACCATCCAATAAGAACATGCCATGCCATCATTTATTGAAGAATTTTTTTTTTGAAAATAAGGATCTCAATCAAAGTGTTAAACCTAAGTCTCTTAGGAAAGAAAGGCAACACCTAACCACTAGACCAAACCTCAAAATTCTTATATTATAGACAAAATTAGTATTTAGGTTAACCTAAGATTGGAATTAATTATATTTAATATATTCTTAAATTAATTTAAATTATATTGATATATTCTTAAATTTAGTTTTGTATTTTGTTCAATTCAGTCTTTAAAACAAAAATTATCTAATTGAGGTCCAACTTTAATTTCATTTTTTTAATTTTTACACATGATCATTTTCAAGGTTAGTTTCATAAATGTACTGATAATTCCATATCTACTATTGT